AGAGCTCCTTCAGCCTTGGTTGATAATCAATTGAGTATAAAGTAAAAGATTATTTGGAAATCGTGAGATGCGGACTGGTGTGACGTAGGTTTAGAAAAATATTTTATTTATCGCGCCAACGTTTTGATCTTTATTGAGATCATCATCAGTGCCTGGTGTTGTCTGCATTTCAACAAAAAAGTTTGTGTTTGAACAGTGATTGAAATGCAGACAACACAAGGCCCCGAGGTTGATTTCAATAAAGATCGAAAAGAAAATGTTTTTCTAAACCTACGTCACACCAGACCGCATCTCACGATCTCCAAATCATTAATTAACGGTCACTAAACACCACATATAAATTAAAAGGGTTCGGGAATTTTTTGCCCATTTATCCTTGTTTTTTCTCATTTATAATGTACACAAAAACAAAGGGGGTTGGCATAGGATCAAAGAATAGAAATACAGCTTTCCAATGGTTGCTATAATTTGAACAATATATAAAATACAGAGATCTGAAATTTTTATAGAGCACCGAAGCATCGGAGAAAAAGAGTTCCTTCAGCCTATACAGCTCAAAAATGTCAATTTTATTGTTTGCTGTAAAAATTCGTATTAAAAAATTTTTTCATATCGCTTAAAACGAATCCCAAACTTTTATTAAACAGTGACGTTTTTGGCCTATTTTACTGGAAACTTCTTTTCGTTTTTGTAATTTTTAGTCAATCTCATTTAATACTGCACTAAATATTATTTTCTTACTTAGATATTAGCTATGAATTTTTAATGGAGCGATAATTTTTTCGTCTTTGAAATGCCTCCGATTTTCTCCAAAAATCACAAAAATGGTAGTCTTTAAAAAAAAGCTCCAACGACCTAAAAGACAGTTTACTGAGATTTAAAACTATAAACTAAATGTGTAGAGATTAGTGACCGTTAATCGATAGTTATTCAGATATCGTGAGATGCGGTCGGGTGTGATGTAGGTTTCAGAAAAACATTTTCTTTATCGTGCCAACGTTTCGATCTTTTATTGAGATCATCTTCAGGGCCTGGGATTTACAAACAATGTTTACATTTAACAATTACATTTAGGATGTGGAAAAGTGAATTTATACACTGCAAAATATATTTTATATTCAAAGGCCCTGAAGATGATCTCAATAAAAGATCGAAACGTTGGCACGATAAAGAAAATGTTTTTCTGAAACCTACATCACACCCGACCGCATCTCACGATATCTGAATAACTATAAACTAAATGTTTAATCTATAAAGAAAAAAATTTAACTTAAAAATCAAACAAAACACATAGAAAAGAGACAACGAGTTAATACAAATACACTTAATTTTTTTATATTATAATGTACATATTTTGACCAATTTTTCTGCTTTGGATGTTCGCCATGTTTATTGTCTTTTCTGTGTTTTGTTTCATTTTTCTTTCTTTTTGTGTTTTTTTTTATTAAGCTAAACTTGGGAAATAAAGTTGCTCAGGATAAAAGGTTGAATTATTATAAAACTATTATAATTATCAAATTTCGGCATTTTAGTTCGATGAAAAAAGTCATTGTCACAAGCGGGATTCGAACACAAGCCGAAGCGTGAGTTCGAATCCCTCTCGTGACACTGACTTTTTTTATCTCAACCAAGTTTTACATAAAAGGAATAATTATATGTATCAGTCGGTTTGTTTTGGTAACTAGGATAAGATATTAATATACAGGATAGTATTAAATCTGGATTATATATACATATATATGTATGTATATATGTGACGACAAAGTTCAGCAGGTGTTCATCATAACTCAAAGGAAACAAAAATGTTCACATGAACCTGTTCGAATCTTAACCCTTTACTCATGTTTAACATTTTATGGGTTTTTTCATTTTTCATTTTTTGTCATAAATCTACTTGGAGCTATTGAACTATTCTTTTTGAGAAAAAAAAAAACATTTAAAAGAATGTTAAATTTTCTTTAAACAGGCACCATACTAGAACGTTCGATTTAATTTTTGGTCAAAAAATAACACTAAATGTAAAAAGAGCCCAATTTAAAATTTATTAAAAAACTAAATTAACAACATAATTGGAAAAATTTACGGTAGAGGTTGGCAAATTTCGTAACAACTCCTTCGTTTAACAGCATTCTAGCGGTATACACTTTTCATTAATTACATCGAACCAAAATGGAGAAATTTTATAATAATTTATAATAGTTTTATAATAATTCAACATTTTATCCTGGGCAAAATTTATTTCCCAACTTTAAATTAATAAAAAAAAACACAAAAATGAAGAAAAAAGAAACAAAACGCATACAAATAGACAATAAACATGGCGAACAACCAAAGCAGAAAGATTGATCAAAATATGTACACAAAAAAAAAGCGTCCCAAAAAAATTACAAGTATTTGTATTGTATTTGTATTAATTCGTTGTCTTTTTTAGGTGTTTGTTTGATTTTTAAGTTGATTTTTTCTTTATACATTAAATATGTAGTTTATAGTTTTAAATCTCAGTAAACTTTTTTTTAGGTCGTTGGAGTTTTTTTTAGTCATCACCGTTTTTGTGATTTTTGAAGAAAATCGGAGGCATTTCGAACTGCAAAAAATTAAGACAAATTTGGAGCGAATTTACGTAGGATAAGAAAATAATATACAAGATCGTATGAAATGAGACTTTATACATAAAAAGTTCGGCTTCTAGTAAAGTATGGCAGAAAAAAATTTTGGCTAAAATTTAAAAAAAAAATCGGATTCGTTTTAAGTACTCTTTAAATCCTTTAAATACGAATTTTCACAGCAAACAAAAATTGGGCATTTTATAGCTGGATAAACCGACGGAAAATTTTTGTACGATGTCTCTTGATCCACTTAAAAATTCAAAGCTAATATTTAACTAAGAAAATAATGTACAGTATTAAACGAGATTTATTAAAAGTTATAAAATCGAAAAGAAGTTTCCAGTAAAATAGGCCGAAAAAGTCATTGTTTAAAAAATGATTCGCATTCGTTTTAAGCATATTGAAAACGTGTAATGATTAGTGACCGTTAATCGATAGTTATTCAGATATCGTGAGATGCGGTCGGGTGTGATGTAGGTTTCAGAAAAACATTTTCTTTATCGTGCCAACGTTGATAGAATATAAAAAATATATTTTGCATTGTATAAATTCACTTTTCCACATCCTAAATGTATTTGTTAAATGTAAACAATGTTTGTAAATCCCTGGCACTGAAGATGATCTCAATAAACATCGAAACGTTGGCACGATAAAGAAAATGTTTTTCTGAAACCTACATCACACTCGACCGCATCTCACGATATCTGAATAACATATTGAAAACTTTTAAATACGAATTTTCACAGAAAACAATAACATAGACATTTTTGGGCTGTATAAACTAAAAGTAATCTTTTTCCACGATGTCCGGTGTCCTATATAAAAAATTCAGATCTTCCCTGTATTTTATATATTGTTCAAATTATAACAACCATTGTAAATCTGCATTTCTCTTCTTTGATCCTATGCCAACACCCTTTGTTTTTGTGTACATTATACATGAGAAAAACAAGGATTAATCGACAAAAAATTCCCGAAACCTTTTACTTTATGTGTGGTGTTTAGTTACCGTTAGTCAATGATTATTCGCGGAAATCGTGAGATGCGGTCTGGTGTGACGTAAGTTTTAGAAAAACATTTTCTTTTCGATCTTTATTGAGATCATCTTCAGAGCCTTGTGTCGTCTGCATTTCAATCACTGTTTTACACAAAATTTTTTTGTTGAAATGGAGACAACACAAGGCCCTAAAGATGATCTCAATAAAGATCGAAACGTGGGCGCGATAAAGAAAATATTTTTCTAAACCTACATCACACCCGTCCGCATCTCACGATATCCAAATAATCTTACTTTCTACTCAATTGATTATAAACGTTATTTCGAAATGTAAAATTTCTGCCACAGACGTGATTCGAACCCTCGATCTTTTTTATTTTGTACCGGATAAAAAATATTTTGACTTACACTGCATTGTCGATTGGTCAAAAAACAATTATTGTATTTATAAAGGAATTATTGTATTTCAATACAAAACTAGAATTTACTCTCATGCAGATTACTTCAAAATGCCCCTGATTTTATTTTCTTAAAAAATTACAAAAGTGGAGCCAACTGTGAAAAGCCTCGTCCGATTCACAGGCAACTTTAAGTATTTAAGAACCGTGTAAACTACACTACTTGCTTAAACTTGACATTATTAATTAATTTATTATTAACTAATCTCATTTTAATACGATTCTGTCCATTATTTTCTTATCGCAGGTGAAAAAATCAACTAACGTGCAAATATATACACAATAAAGGCAGAAATATATATTTTAGAAAATTATTTAAGTTAGGTACTTAAAATATTTTTATCGGCTCCTAGGTTTATTAGATAGAACTCTCAGAAAGTATCTAACATTTTTAAACTTATTATCACCAAAAAGATTTTCATTAAAATCTGTGATCCCAAGTCAGTCGCCTTCCAATACAATGTTTATTTTGACCCTTAGAAAAGGCAACAGATTGATTATGGAATTAGTTATATCTATCTAAATTTTGTTTAAGTGTTATCATTATGAAGTGCAAGTAGTTCAGTCGTTGCAAAAACTGTAAAGAGCATGATTGCAAATTGATTAATTTATTTTTCCGGCCCACCCAAAAATCTGAATTGCTGAGGTCTTTAGATATTTAAAAATAATTGACTTATAAAATAATTTAAAATGGTTTTATTCACTCGCCGTTTTCAAAACAAGGGATTTTTCGACCCCTGTTCACTAACAAGAGGTGTAATCTTCACTTTTATGAACCATTGAATGATAAAGCAAACTTTTTTTTATGGTTCCGAACTATATCAAATTAAATTTATAACAGTCTGATTTTACCCATTTTTCCAAGGGTGAGACCGTTTGAACCGGTTGTGAGTAAAGTGTATTATTTCAAGAACCACGGCCCTCGTGGTCTCTACATACCTCTAGGATGATGATGATCATATCGAAGATTTCACGACAATGGCAATGGTTTAAGACGAGCCGCAAAGCCCCACTCGCCAAGGAGAGCCCTTACCACTTTCCAATGATTACAATATCCTCCCGATTATAACATTTCCGAGGATTTACGGTCAAACAGAATGTCATAAGACCCGGGAAGAGGGTTTCGGATTTAAGACCGATGCCGAATTTTGCCGCCTGTAATGATTCAATATGTTAATCTAGACAGATGTTAAACATTGTAAATCATTCAAATAGCATTAGAGAATATTTGTTTAATTAATGATAATACGATAAAAAATCCAAAGGAATCGTTATTTGCATTTTATTGATGCCTATTAAACAGTCAAACAAAAATTATAATTCCATGATGATATAATATAAAAATCTTTAACATATCTCTTAGAAAAAAAACTTTCCTACGTTTTTATTTAACTAAAACAAAAGTAGATAAGTCATTCCAGGTAATTTTGTCCACCTATCATTTCAACGATCCATCTTAACCTGGAGTTCCTTAGGGCTCAAACTTAGAGCCTCTTTTGTTTCTTGTTTTCATAAATGACAATTACTCTGCGCTCAGTGATATAAATTTTCTTCTCTTTACTGAAGATAACACTAACACCTCAGTTTTTCAGGCGTAAATCTGGGCCATTAATGTGCAGAACACTTATGGAAAAGAAAATAAAATTAAGGGAAAATATATTAGAATTTTTTCTGACAGTCAGGCTAGTCTTAGGGCACTACAAAAAGATTTGTCAACCTCACCACTGATGGAGGAAACTGTAGATCTTATCAATAGGATCTCTTCCAGGTTTGAGAACAAGGTAACCCTTATACCAGCACATAAAGGACACTATGGCAATGAAAAGGCAGTTGGCTGGCCAAAAAAGGTTCTAATACTGCGTTTGTCAGGCCACAACCGGTACTACGACACTCTATGAGCACGGTGAAAGAGAGTATCAATAACTGGGCATGAAACAATTCCTTAGGGGGTGGAATATATCCCCCGGACACAGGCAATCGAAAGAGTTAAGGCGATCAAACCAGCAGAATCGAAATGGCTACTCTCTAACTCAAGGAAGGGAATTAGGAGGCTGATAGGTATCCTGACAGGCCACTGCCCACTGAGAAGACACCTCTCTGTAATGGTATTCTACCAGATCCCTTTTGCCGTTTTTGCGAAATAAAAGAAGAAATGGCAAAGCACTACCTTGCAGAGTGTGATATGTATGCTAGGTGTAGATTTGAAATCTTTGAAGGAGAGGACATCACCAAATCACTCCCCGATATTAAATGGTCCAAAATCTTGGGGTTTGAGAACAGGTCCAAGAGATTTATGATGGACACGTGAGCTTACCAAGTCCAGAGTAATTGTCATTTATAAAAACAAGAAACAAAAGAGGCCCTAAGGAACTCTAGGTTAAGTTGTCTCTTTAAGAGTAAAGAGAATTTAAATAGTTTTGGAGGATTAGATGGTCTGAATAAGAAGAAACAGGTTTAACAAATGTACTCTGTACTTACGTTTTAGGGATGGGGTACAAGTCTACCCAAGCAACCAAAACTATTTAAATTCTCTTTACTCTTAAAGAGACAACATAACCTAGAGTTCCTTAGGGCTCAAACTTAGGGGCTCTTTTGTTTCTTGGTTTTATAAGTGACAATTACTTTGTGCTCAATGATATAAATTTTATTTTCTTTGGTGATGATCTTACATTTGTTAAACCTGTTTCTTCTTATTCAGACCATCTAATCCTACAAAATTATTTAAATTCTCTTTACTCTTAAAGAGACAAGATAACCTGGAGTTCCTTAGGGCTCAAACTTAGGGCCTCTTTTGTTTCTCGTTTTTATAAATGACAATTACTCTGTGCTCAATGATATAAATTTTATTTTCTTTGGTGATGATCTTACATTTGTTAAACCTGTTTCATCTTATTCATACCACCTAATCCTCCAAAATTATTTAAATTCTCTTTACTCCTAAAGAGACAACATAACCTAGAGTTCCTTAGGGCTCAAACTTAGGGCCTCTTTTGTTTCTTGTTTTTGTAAATGACAATTACTCTAGGTTCAATGATATAAATTTTCTTCTCTTTGCTGATAATCTTACAATCTTTAAACCTGTTTCTTTTTATTCAGACCACTTAATCCTCCAAAATTATTTAAATTCTCTTTACTCTTAAAGAGATAACTTAACCTAGAGGGCTCTTTTGTTTCTTGTTGTTATGTATATATTTTTCCATAAATTATTAAATAATCTGATAAACTGTCCTCAACTCCTTAATATTCCATCCAAAACAACAGAAACCCTCAAAATTTCAACCCAGCCTACAGTAGGAACAATTATACTTTTCATTCTACAATCAACAGAGCTCAGAGACAAGCAAACTCATTGACATAGATTTTTTCATTGATAAAAGCACAAAAATTAGAAAAAATTTCATCTTCCATTTTGAAATTGTATCTAGTTATAGTTATATATTTTTATATCCACTTATAGTTGGGTGTTCTCACACATTTACTTATGACATATATTTTAATTATATGTTGTTTACCTAGTTTTTATGACTAATTAGGCTTTTAAGCATATGTTTGTATTAAATAAAAAAATCAAATAAATAGATGAAATAGATTATTGCTTCTGGATGACATCATTTGGTGATATTGAACAAATCGTAAGTTCTCTAGGTTTGTTTAACTTTGCCTAACCATCCCGCTTTAGGACCTTGCATATAACTACATATCAAATCCAAAAAAACAAGATATGCAAGAAACGGGCAAGCCCAGCTTCTCCTCTTAAGGGGTTGTAAAACTCCAGAGGAAGAGAGTGCTAGACCAACCCCACCCATATCAGGGGTGCAGAAAAAGGAGGCAACTCCAAAACCAAAAACAAATCCATCAAAGGGGACCCCATTGCCCCAAGAAGAAAAAAGGATGATGTACAAAAAAGAAGAAGGGACATGAGAACACATAGACCTCCCCTTCCCACAAGATGTGGTTCCCCTGTTTCTCCAAACATCAACTTAGGGGAAAGAAAACAAAGGGTTGGAGGAGGAAATAAAATCCACAGCACTGGAGTGCATCTATGTGAATTTGCACATTGCGACAACTTAAGCTGCCTCTTCACCTGAAAACACCTAGCCGTCCTGATCCACCACTGAGGCACCAAGGAAAGTGTGCACTTTCCAAGTTATGACTATAAGCAACAGCGGTTCCACAATAGACCTGTTTAGGTTGCAGTAGGCAAGAGCTCTTCTGTATCAACTCCTCAAAAACCTTTAAAAAAAAGAACAATATTGGTCTTATTTTATTTTATTTTTATTTTTTTCAGGAGAATGTTGGGACTGAGCTGGTCTTCATGGAAATTTTATATCGCCTGTAAAAAACTTTGATATTTCAATCTGTAGACATATTTAAGATAGCTTTTGTTGCTTTTGCCATGATGACCTTAAAATAGGTCGAAAGCTTGGCTGTAACAACTGAATATGCTTTCTTCTTCAAACACCTTAGGGGAGAGCATATTCATTCACCTTGATCCAGAGTGTTCATTGGTCTATTGTGCCATCTTATCTAGAGCTTTTCATTAAGCTTAAGGCATTTTACCAGATCTGAATACTTTGTTAAGAGCTCTCAGGTCCTTCAAAACTTGTCTTTTCCTCTTGCAGGAGTAGGATCTCAGCCTGTATAGACTTTATTGCGTTTTTTTATTAAGTCATTCTAGATTCAAGATCAGGATGATTAAGATTAAAAAACTAAATACGCAATGACATCATTTATTACAGAGTGTTTACAAAATTTATACAAAAATGATCATGAGCACAATTAACATTAATTTTGGAATGGATGTTGCAACATCAGTACCTTGGGGTGTAGACAAGCTTCTTAATACTCAACCAAACAGGACAAACGACTCTACTATACTGAAGTGACTACACTTTCTTAGGGATGGTCTTTTTTATTTTTCCTTTTACACACTTCCTGCGAGGAGTGCTTAGCACCCTGTAGCAGTGTTTCCACCGGACCGCTATAACCTTATCACTAACTTCACTAGTTTCCTGGTTCCCTTGACCAATTACCAATTGACCAATTTAATAAGTTTAAAATGAAGTATCCTTCACTAAAGCTCTCCGTGGCCATTTTATTTGTCGCCGAGAATCAAATTGATTACACGACATTTGAAAAATGGCAAAAAGGAGGGAAAATTCAAAAGGTGTGGTTGAAATGGGAAGTTGGTATCGAGTGGATCAAGGTCACGATAGCTCAAGTGGTAGAGCAGCAGCGTATCAAGCCAAAGATCGTGGGTTCGAATCCCGCTCGTGCCATTGACTTTTTTATCTCAACTAAAAACCTTATCACTAACAAAGGATATGCTCTGCTATTTCTTTTTCTTCCTGGCAATATTTGCAGTTTTTTTTTGGGGGGGGGAGGATTATTTTAAATTATCGCTCATGGACTTCTTGATATTCATTTTTATTGACTGTTTGTTTAGGGTTTTTTCCCACTATCATAGTTTCATAGTTAAAAAATTTTTTTTGCTGCTCCGTCTTCTACATATATACCTTTGGTATATTCCCCATCAGCAGTCCTAATTGTAGCCCTAATATATTTAATAGTTTTGCTGTTAGTTTCTGTGACGGTCTTTAATGAACTTAACGAAGTGAAGCACTGTTTTCTGCTGAATTCTCTTAACCTATTATTTATGTGTTCTCAGTTTAGGTTGGAGTAGGATTCATATAAAGTAATAAAAAAATTATGATTAAAATTGAAATTTCTGGTTTTTACAAGTTCTAATTCGAATTTATGACACACCACAACAACACTTTATGTATCCAATGATCAGTTAGAATGTTTAGTTAGGTCAAATCATCAATAGCAGTGTGCCATTACATTCTTGACAATCAATTTTGTTATATTTTATGATTTTTGTTATTTTTCATACATTCAGAACAAATAAAACTCTTTCTCCTTAAAGTTTTCTGTATGGTGTCCTTTGGTGACTGGCAATTAAAACTCTACGAACAATGTTTTAAAAGGTTAACTAGAGTGTTACAAAGATCATTGTTATTGAAAAATATCTAATGTTTTTTTGATTGGAGCTATAGTTTATTTATAATATCTCTGTAATATAAAACATATGCTGTAAACTTCATTAAATCAGTTTTTATCAGAATTCAAATTTGTTGAATTTAACAACAGTTCTTTCTTTGAACAGACACCATAATGAAGGCGGTATCCAGTGGTGCATTTGTCACACATATCCGGGCCAATTCCATGACAGCGGTTGCAAGATTTGTCACACGGTAGACATTCGAAGTGTCCATCTTTGTTAACGCAATGTTCATTATTTTTGCACGTGCCTTTTAATTTGCATTCGTTTATATCAACACAGCCGTTTTTATTTTTTTCCCAACCGTTGTTACACTCGATACAGTTTTCTCTCCTCGCTCCAGTACAACCTTTGCAAGCTTTGTCACATTCTAAACAAAAAAGGTAATTGTCGCTTCTATCTTCGTAAAAGTTATCTGCGCATTTATCACAATTAGCGCCGGTGTATCTGCAAGAACAGATGCACTTCCCATTGCCTTCTCTAGTACCGGACCCATTACATTTACCGTTATTCGTACAGACGTCTGGATATCCAGGGCAAGGAGTGCATTGCAGACCGAAGTGATCGACCGGGCAGCATGACTTTGTTTCATTTATGCACAACCAGTCATGAAGAATTCCGGGCTTCTTGTTGAACCACCATTTCTCGATAGCTTCTTCCCACTCTTCGACCAGCCTATAACACTGGCTTTGACCTTTCACTACATCAGAGCATAAGTGTTCCAAGACCTCCATTAGCCGAACTTCACTGTGAGCGTAGTTTCCTAATTTTTCAGCTTCCCATGCCGCGTCACCGCCTCCGAAATGTTTCTTGTTCGTTCTGTCCATCCCTCTTTTGATGCTGGACACGACAGTGGTGCATGCTTGGCAAATGGGAAATTGGGTTAAAAATTCCGGATTTGTTTTTGGATTTAAATTCGCCTTGACATGACTGAGAATAATCAAACCAATCAAACTCATTACAAAGTTCATATTTACAATTTCAATACATGAAATTTGTCTTATTTTTTTTTCTATGCATAAAAGTTAACCACATGACATTTTATTTAAAAAAACACCTGTTTTACAATCTTGGAATACATTTATTATTAAATAGCACTAAAATTTTTAGTAGCAAGTATATAAATAATTTTTATATAAATAAATAATATAAAATGGTACTAACATTTTATATTACCCTTTTTAGTACAATTTATTGTTCGACTCTAATCTTTCTTTTAACGATAAAATTCTCTAGTAATTTTGAGATATTGGGGTATGTTTATTAAGAAAATAGTTACATAATTAAAAGATAAACCTTTATTGACATAACACTAATGTTCTACTAGTATTAAAATTAGAATAAAAAAATTTAAAAAAAAGATGTACTGCAGTTTCGAAGTACTTGTTTTATTTAAGTAGCTGAAGTTGTTTGTAATAATAGGAGAATTTTTCAGCTTCTTTGAATAAGAGCCAAATGTCTCTCAATATTAAATTTAATGAGGATTTAATTTCTAGATAAATTCACTAATTTCGTGGTCCAGTACCAATTAAATCATTACAATTAATTAAGGTTTTTAGTCGAGATGAAAAAAGTTAATGGCATGAGCGGGATTCGAACCCACGCCGCTGCTCTACCACGAGCTATCGTGACCTCGATCCACTCGGACATCAACTTCCTATATCAACCTCGTTCGAATCCCACTTGTGCCATTAATTTTTTTTCATCTCGACTAAAAACCTTTTCTAGATAAATTTGACTTACACAAAGAACGTGAATTTTTCTGAACTTTGAAAGTGCTGCAGTAAATTGATTTTATGATTTTTTGCCAATGTTTATTTATAAGTATGTCGGGTTAGAATGCAGGGCCGCAGGACCTTTTACAGTGATGAGCGCTGTGTAACGCCTAAACCGTTGTGGACACCGACACACCTCGCAATTGCAAAATACAATTTTCTAACCTACATCATGCAGGTAATTCACAGCTATTTACAAAAAAGAACCAGGTTCCCTCAAATGACATTATCTCGCCACAGTAAAAAGATATTGCTGAGCTCACACAAGGTTCAGTTCTAGGGCCAACATTGTTCAACATTTTCATGAATGCATGCCATAAACTTTACTGTAAAATTGTGCTACTAATGATATATTGTTCATCATAGAGGGTGAATGTTTAATAGCAGCTGACCCATAGTTTTGGAAATTTGTAAAACTGAAATCATCTGCTATTCAGAATGTACAGTGGCCACAACTAAAAGTTAAATTAGACTCGATTTAGTTCAGTCAGAATTCCTGCTGTGCTTTTCAAGAAGGTAGAAGCATTAGCTTATACTTTATTTTAAAAAATCAATGAATACTATTGGGTTGTCCGGAAAATAATGCAGGATTTTAAGTTTTCATTAAAAAAAATCTATATAAAATATTCTGTTTACGTTTACAGGATTACTCATTTGTATGAATGTCAACACTTATTAATCCTCTTCCAAATGATATTGTTTGTTTACCTCTGTAGCATTCCGCTACTTGGAAATAATTCAGTCATCCTTATAATGTCAAAGCGAGAATTTCGTACGATTTTCTTTTACGAGTTTAAACTCGGCCGAAGCGGAGCCCAAACGGCTAGAAACATTAACCAAGTCTGGGGCGAGGGTTGTGTTAATGAGTGCACTGTGCAAAGGTGGTTTAAAAAATTTCGGGAGGGAGATTTCAGCCTTGAAGATGAAGAAGGTCGTGGAAGGCCTTCCTCTCTTAATGATGATGTTCTGCGATCAGTGGTGGGTGCAGAGCAACTCAAAGTCAGTAAAACGACCGTCGCTGACCACCTCAAGGCGATTGGAAAAGTGAAAAAACTCGAAAATTGGGTTCCACACTCATTAAACGATCGCCAAAAAAATCAGCGCTTTGATGTTTGTGCATCACTTCTTTGTCGAAACAAAAATGACCCATTTCTGGCCAGAATTGTTACATGTGACGAAAAGTGGATTCTCTACGATAACACTAGACGTTCTGGACAGTGGCTCGACAAAGGAGAAGCTCCAATACATTTTCCAAAGCCCCCAACTCATCAAAAAAAGGTAATGGTTACGGTATGGTGGGCTTCATTTGGTTTAATACACTACAGCTTCTTAAATCCTGGCGAAACCATCAATGCTGAATCATACTGTAACCAAATTAATACCATGCATCAGAAATTGGCAGTAATGAAGCCCTCTTTGGTCAATCGGAAAGGGCCCATTTTGTTGCATGACAACGCTCGACCACATGTGTCACGTGTAACGTCACAAAAATTATTGGAGCTTGGCTATGAAACTTTGCCTCACCCACCCTACTCTCCGGACCTCTCGCCTACTGACTACCATTTTTTTAGACACCTGGACCACTACTTAGAACACATAATATTCAAAAATCAAACGGAACTGGAAAATGCATTTATTGACTTTATCAATTCTAAAAATTCTGAATTCTACTCAGACGGAATTAATAAGTTACCAACACGTTGGGAGAAATGTATTGAGAGTATGGGAAATTATTTTGATTAAAGAACATTGCTTTAAAGTAACTAGTTTCTTTTTTTTTGTTTAATACCAAAATCCTGCATTATTTTCCGGACAACCCAATAGTATATTTACCTAAATATATAAAATGTTGTTACTGTCGCTTTAATGCAGATGACTCAAATTTTCCTTCCTACCTGCTGATTTACATGCTGCAATTCATTCAAGAGGATTTAAACTCGGTTATCTCTTGGGCTGCTGAAAATGATCTTAACCTTAACTTTAAAAAGTCTCCTGCTTTGAATCCACTTCCCTCCACCCTTTCTTGCATCCCTCTTTATAAAGTTAACAATCATGCTATTTCCTTCTGTACCACCATCAAGAACCTTTGGATTCAGACCTTTTTTCAAAGCCCCATATCACTCAAATTTACCTATGTTGCTTTTTCACCCTCCATCAGTTCTGTAATGCCAACCACCTGACATTTAGTACACCTCGTTTATTCTTTATCTTGATTATGTGAGGTGTATAGTGAATGCTCTGAGGACTTGAAGATATTTTTTTGTCTTTGGCTCCTCAAGAAGGTTCCACGTTCGTGATCTACACATTCTTTACATCAAATGGTGCCTTCCTACTGCAATCAATACTTCCTCGGCTTCTTCCTCAGATGATATCCCATTCCTTTTCTATGATGATCCTCCTGACTCTAAGATTCTCACAACCATTTACTGTAGGGTATAACAACAGTCACACTTTGCGTACAGCAGCATGCATGAAAATAACTGAACTATGGGTGCAAGCAAGTTCCAAGCCCACAGCTTGCTATTGGATTTGGGTGCCTAGGGTTCAAGGTGGGTCTCCTGGAGGGTTAGAGAGTTTACCCTCTATACAGTGGTTAATACTGTATAGATATATACAGTAAAAACACTTAAATAAAATACCAGGACTGACCGCCTGTCAGAAGTGTCTACGCTAGGGGTGTGCGCCTCCCCTCGGGGTTTTGATGGAGTTGCCTTCTGCAAAATGGGCAGAAGGATGCAAAACATCCTCATGTCCTTTTCAGGACACTGTCCACTCCAGTCAAACTTGCTCCCACCCTTCAGACCTCTATCCCCTAAATACGGAACTACACAGTCAGTGCATTTAGTTTCTTCCTCATCCGTACCTCTAGAGTCTAGACCATGTAATTTTTCCTCATTCAATCCACCGGGTCCCATCCCTTTCCATCTTCAAGTGCTATCTTTTTGTTTACCTCTTGATCACACAATTTGGCACCGAAGATTTGTAATTGCCCATTTTTAGTTTAATTTCTCTAGTAGAGTATTTTCTTTTATATGCATATATTTTTGTAAACGGACATCTTTGTATTGTTGTAATATCCATAATTATTAATATAAAGTTACTGAATTACAAGGAGGGAAAATTCACAAGGTGCGGTTGAGATGGGAAGTTGGTGTCCGAGTGGATCGAAGTCACGATAGCTCAAGTGGTAGAGCAGCGGCGTATCAAGCCGAAGATCGTGGGTTCGAATCTCGCTCGTGCCATTGACTTTTTTATCTCAACTAAAAACCTTAATTAATTGTAATTACTGAATTACTATTAATAGATAAAAAAAGAATTATTTGGAGGTAGATCTTGTATGGGTTTGGTATGCTACTGTAAATATGCTTGGCTTGATGGAAACTATTTATAGAAGTTGCTAGTCATAAATTTAATTAATAATAATCCATTTACGGTTAGTGGCCTATTTGACTATTTTTGATTATTTCAATTAATTATTATTTTTATGTAAGGTCTTAGTTGAGAAGAAAATGTTAGTGCCACGAGCAGGATTCGAACCCACGACCTTCGGCTCAATACGCCGCTGCTCTAACCTCTTGAGCTATTGTGACTTCGATCCCCTCGGACACTAACTCCTTAATTAATAATTAATTTATATGTAACTATATATGTATATACTAGCCTGCTGACATTTTGAGTTTATGAAACACTGTGATAGTCTAGGCTAGATCACAAGGTAGGTATGCGTGTCTTTTCTCGGTGTATGGTTGTTTTTCGAATGTAACAGAAGAATAATCCATTTATCTGGGTATTGGGCTAAAGTATCAAAAGGGGGTTAATTGTTTGTATATTTATTACTACAATAGTCATTACATTGGCTGTTGTGTTTGTATAAGATCTTTTTTCTTTGTTTCTGGAACCATGACGAAGACAAACACGCTGCATAACAAGCAGGATATTGAAAAGGCAAAGAAGCACACGTATATGCCGGCTTGGTCCTTCACGACTTGAAAGAGTTTTGTGACGGCGAAGGAAGCCGCAGCGTGGCAAAGGGTGGTGAAGGCTGATGCCAGCCCTTTGATGTGCGGTGGAAATAGCTCTCCTTGAAGCGTGTTCACGATCGGCCCCAACCCCAAGGAATACAGGATCGAGAAGGCGCAGATGGAAACGAAAGGGATCCAATTGACCTCGGGGATGACCCAGACGAAGTACACACCGGTCACGAAATGGGCGATCGCGCATCCGATGCTCGAGACGAGCAACAAAGGTCTTCTGCCCATGCAGTCGATCAAAGCAGCAGAAACGAACGTGAAAACGAAAATCAAAGCCCCGAATAAAATTGTGTATTGGTCGGAGTTCAAAAAATGGTCTGTAGACTGGAAAGTCGTAGCCGCGTACGCGACAACGGCAGACATGCCGGCAAAACGTTGGAACACTGCTACCAAAATCACAACAGCGAGTTTTCTGTTGTAACGAGAGGAAAACAGTTCTTGGAAACTGGCTTTACCGAAGTTGTCCTTTACGATTGTCTCGGCTATATCGTCGATTTTCTTTTTTAAATGTTCTTCGTTATTCGTTTTCAGGAGCCAGGAGAGATTTTTCGTCGCCTCGTCCATCCTGCCCTTCTGGACTAGAAAATGTGGAGATTCTTTCAGGAAAAAAGAAGTTATGAGCCAGAACGCTGCGAAGGCGATGGTGATGAACCCGAGGGTCGAGTAGGAGACGTAAGGCCCTGCTGAAAACTCGATCAAGTGGCCCATGAAGAGCATGGCTTGGAAAAGCGTGCTCAGAGCACCTCTCGTCCTGCTCGGAGCCACCTCAGCTATGTACAACGGTACCGTCGTGAACACGACACCCATCGATATACCGAACAAGAACCTGACGAAATAAAGCATAGCGACGGATCTTGTCGAGAGGACGAGGATCCATCCGCACACGGTGATCACAGATGCCACGATGAGGCATAGCTTTCTTCCGACTGACCCGATGGCGTAGCCTGCAGGCAGCGGGCTGAGAAAGTGTCCGACTTCATGCGCCGCTGCAAGCCAAGAGCTCTCGCTCTCCGTGATCGGCAGCACGCTGTCTGGCTTCCTCAACTTCTTCAGAATCGGAGTCGTCCATCCCACTGTGCATCCCACACTCAGAACTCCGACACTACCTGAAATATTTCATAATTATGCAAATCAACAATTTATAGTATTTCGACTCTTATTAAAAAACATTCCACGATTGTAAAGGTGAAATCGGCAAGCTAACAACCTAACACGCCTAGGCGACGGAGTTTTCTCTGACGCTCGTGCTCTCAGACTATCGCACAATCGGTCAATGAATAAACATGGAATGCAGCAAGTACTCACGTACTGAATTGTATTATTAGCAACACTTTCCCTCTGGTCAACATCGACAGAGCCTTTCAGAAAGAATAACAGGCGTAGAATTGAAAAATTGGTCATTAAAAGCCCCCATTGTGAGCAATATAAATTCTAAAGGATTAAAATTTAAATAAACAATATCAGATAATAGATTTATCAAAGATCCCTTTACTTGCCTGCGTTTTAATGCTTTAAAATGAGAAAATTTATCAAAATGAAGATTTAGTTTTTAAAGGCTTATTTGGGGGGCGTCGGTGGCCGCAACGGTTTAGGTTTTGACACGGCGCTCATCACTGTAAGGTAAAGGTCCCGGGTTCGAATCCAGCGCCCCTACATTCGAACCCGACATACAAATGGGAAAAAAAAGGCTTACTTAATTTCAATCCGTGAAAATTAATAGCAAAGGTCAAGAAAAAACGTCCTTACGGAAAAGCTTTTGATGGAACTTGTTGAAATTGTAATGTTGAAGACTGACCGTACTTTGAACAAATCATGCCAATATGTAAGCCTTTTCTTTTTCGTAACGTCCCAACTCTTCCAGCATAAAATTTGGCTGTTATGTCTTCTTCATGAAATTTTTCTGAATCGAACTGCAACATTAGTTTTTACTACAACCTTGCAATAACTTTCATATCATTTTTATGTTGTTTACTTCTTATCAATCACGCATCAACGAAAATTAATGACCTAATGACTTCTGTAAAGAACGATCGAGTCAATTGAACGGAACTTGGTGAATTAAAGCAAAATCCTTCCTACTAAAATTTTCAGTCATCATTATCATCGTATCAACAATCACGCTTGACCAACTTTCATTATTTTTGGATCATATTTCAATTGTAATAGTCGAAATATTATTTCTGTTCTCAAATCAGCCTATTATCTGATTTAACCTGGTGTAAATTTAATTTTGTTGTGTGTAAATAGTGGAAATATGGCTTTGCTGTTTGGACTTTTTAAAATTACAGATTTGTTGCTTTACGTAGGATAATAAAATAATAAACAGGGTTATTAAAGGAGATAAGATATATGCAAGTTTAAAAAAAGCTGGACCCGCATGGGATGATTTTTTTTGGGTCTGATGTCTAGTTTTACACTTAAATATTAATTTAAATAATTATTCAGATATCGTGAGATGCGGTCTGGTTGATTGTTATGGAGGATCTGTTTGTATATCTTTATGTTTTTGTGGTGGAAGGATTCATGGCTTAGGGGAATCATTCTGTGAAGTAACTCTTTGGCCGTGTTTATTATTATATGAAGAGGATGGTGAGATGTAAAGTTGAGTTAGCGATCTGAGTAGTTTGAATTTGATCTGTGGGAACTGCTGTCAATATATCATCTACGTATTTAGTGAGGAAGGGTAATGTGAAAGGAAGTTGTGGTATGACTGTATTTAGAAGATGTGTCATGATTATGTCTGCCAGTATTTTATATTTTCTCGGCTCCTTGTGACTATTGACATGAAAGTTCCAACATGGGTCCAATACTTTTCCACCTAGTATCACCAAAGAAAGTTTCATGAAAATTGCTAATTCTAAGGCCTAGAATTTAAAAAAACCTAAAGCTCTTGAATTTTGAACAGATTTGGTTGTCATTGATCTACACCTACCACATACACCGTACTTCATTAAAAAGACCGAGAAAATAAGAGGAAAACTTCACCAACACAAAAAAAGTTCTTTTAGCGTTATGTAAAAGCATGCATGGCACAGCGTCGTCAAATACGATAATAGTAATAAACTCGTAATAACTTTCGCTAACTGTAGGGGTCAATATAGTCGATATCTATATCTATTCTGTCTACCGATACTGGAAAAAGATAGTGTAAAGGAAAGAGAAAAATACTTTCTTCTATGCCGGCCTTGCGGCTTGGAGTAAACATTTTTTAAATATTTAAAACAATACAAAATTTTTATATAAATAAAGTTAAATTACAGATGCAAACTGGTCATGTAGCTTTTAAAAGAAAGTATATACAGGGTGTTCGGCTACTCATGTTACAAAATTTGCCAGTAGTTTCTATATTGAAAATGGAACCAAGAAGTCCTAATTAAGTATGGTCCAAATCTCAGCAGTTTCGGAGTTATTCCAATTTTTCTGTTTTTTTTTTCTTAATATTTCACGACCTCGCTTCAAATAAACAATAACACCAAAACAAAAAGGTTTTGGACAAATCCGTTGATACCACTGAAAACTACGTTAAATTTTCAATAAAATGTGATCAATATTAAACTTGTAAGCTTGGTGAAATAAGCTTTTTAATAGCTAGAACTTTGAAAAATAATTTTTTTTTAAGCTGAAAAACTTACTATAGTGATTCTAAACTACTATTTCCAAACCTAGAGAAACCAGCACATTTCAGAAAACGGACTCCATTTGATACCCATTTTAGTGGTGTAATTGCTTTTTTAATTAGTTTTTCAAAAATGAAGAAATTGATGTAGGAAAGGAAAAACCGTGGTTGACGGATTGGTAAGGGGGAAAAGAAAATTTTAAAAAAAAATTTAAATGAATTTATCAAACGTTTTTTAGTTTGGGTTCGAAACCGAAAGAGTGAAAATGTTTACTTATTTACCAACACGACTGTAACTTTGATTATAGGATTATTGAATTATTATTCCCCACAATAAAATGGTCTTAAGATTCAAAATATTTTTTTTTATTCATTCAAAATTTCCTTAATTTTTTATTTTTTATTATTATTAATCCTTCCACCTTACCAATCCGTCAACCACGCTTTTTCCTTTCCTTCATTAATTTCTTCATCTATGAAAAAAATTAATTAAAAAAGCAATTACACCACTAAAATGGGTATCAAATGGCGTAGGTTTTCTGAAATTTGCTGGTCTCTAGGTTTGGAAATAGTAGTTTAGAGTCAACATCGTAAGTTTTCCAACATAGAAAATTTTTTTCTTCAAAGTTCTGGCTAAAACGCTTATTTCACCAACGTTTACAAATTTCGTGATGATCACATCTTTTTGGAAATTTAACGAAGTTTTAAATGGTATGAACGGATTTGTCCGAAATCTTTTAGTTTTTGATTTATCATTGTTTATTTGAAGCCATGTCGTGAAATCTTAAAAAATCAGAAAAAGTGGAATAACACCGAAACTGTTGACATTCGGTCCATAGTTAATTGGTACTTTTTGGTTCCATTTTGAATCTACTGGCAAAGTTTGTAATACCAGTAGCCAAACATCCTATAATGAAAATTAATTTTTGCTGATTATTTGGAGATAGTGAAATGCAGTCTGTGTGACGTAGATTTAGAAAATATTTTCTTTATCGTGCCGACGTTTCAGATGTGTCATTATTGTGCTTCGTGTTGACACATATACACAGAAAACAAACACTTTGAGTGAGTACAAATATTTTGATTGTCTAAAATTTCTAAAATTGTATAAATTCATTTTTTCACATCCTACATGTATTTGTATAATGTAAACAATGTTTAAAAAACCCAGGATCTGATGATGATCTCAATAAAGACCGAAACGTTGGCACTATAAAGAAAATGTTTTTCTAAAACCTGTCACACCAGACCGCATCTCATTTCTCCAAAAAATCATCATCTAACGGTCACTAAACACCACACATACATTTTTGTTTAAAAAAAAGGTAAGCTTTAAATTAAACTGTAAAAACTAATATCGTTATGCCTTTTAATAATGTAGATGCTGATGATAAGTGTAATTCCCCGAAACTCCAAAATAATTGTTTAAATAAGTAATGAATATATTTAAAAAAATACCACATGAAATTGTTTTTTCATAACAAAAATCAAAGAAAAAAAAAAAAAGATAAATTTGTCTCAAAAAATGTCACGTTAGTAAAAAAAACTCCTGTAAGTAAAAATTGTTGATTAACTATTGTAGATTTAAATTAATAAAAAAAACTATATTTATATAAACAATATACAAACAACAATATTTGTTCGGAGATTTAAATTGATTTGAGGTTTTTCATTAAAAAAAAATTCCTAAGGTATTATATATTTCTTTTAACTTAATCATAAATGCGTGGTGTTTAGTGACCGTTAGTTAATGATTATTTTGAGATCGTGAGATGCGGTCTGGTGTGACGTAGGTTTTAGAAAAACATTTTCTTTATCGTGCCAACTTTTCGATCTTTATTGAGATCATCTTGAGGGCTAGTTGTTTCTTTTTTTCACATCCTACACGTATTTGTAAAATGTAAACAATGTTTAAAAAACCCAGGCTCTGAAGATGATCTCAATAAAGATCAAAACGTTGGCACGATAGAGAAAATGTTTTTCTAAAACCTACGTCACACCCGACCGCATCTCACGATCTCCAAATAATGATTAATCGTAAATTTTAACGCTAAAATATATATTTTAGGTTCGATTTTAAAGCTCACCGAGAAAAGCGGATAGATGTTGGTTCATCGTCGCCTGGGCAACTACTACAAATGACAAAAAGGTTCTTATCAAATATGAACCGATAAAAAGGCTGGGTAAAAATTACGAATATAACGTCCTTGAATTGTATGCCTTTTTTTAAATTGAAAGTGTAAATTAAACAAAAATTAATTAAAATTACAAAACTTTTAAAGAGTTTAATGATTAAACAAAAATAACTAATTAATTTATTAAATTTAATTTTGTGCGTAAGAACGCGCACTTGTGGGAAGTTACAAACAGAATTATTTGATTTTCGAGATTATTGAAAAGTATAAATAAGAATTAAAAATTTCGATAAACTAATCATTGGATTATGATATCTGACATATTTGCTGAATACCAAGTGGGGATAGTTTATAAATTCAGTGAACGAAGCGATCGTAGATATTTCTTTAGGTCGGTGGCCGCAAGGTTTAGTCTTTGACACGGCGCTCATCACCGAAAGGTAAAGGTGCCTGGTTCGAATCCAACGGCCCTGCATTCGAACCCGACATACTTACAAATGTTTTTTTTTTCAAAAACATCGGCACCCCGGGGGTTCATATAACCTCGTAGATGACACAATATTGCAACAATATAAATAAGTTTTTATTCATCAAATTGACGAGGGCATTTTTTCAGACAATTTTGCATAACCCACGTTCGAACGTCAAATAAAATCGCAGATGCCAATATGCAATATGTTGAGAAAATAATGAAATCTGACCCATAAAAACAAACGATTGATTTTTTTCCCTCCAGAGGTTTTCAATATAAATGACATTCAAACGCGGACGGCGTCGGGCTTGGCCTGCCCACTCCGCCCTTGAAGGCCGATAAGGCAGTCAACCCACCCGGATATTCCCTTTGTTTTTATCGTAATTTATTTATAATCCACATGGAAGGATTAGACGCAAATGGATCACAATAAGGATAGGTGTGTCAATTCCTTTTTTACCCAAAGATCCTTCAATTGCAAAGAATCCCGCGGAAGAACAGGCCCAAAGGGCACAATTTCTATATACATTTTTTTCCACTAAACCAAACCAAACGAACACTTTAATAGTTTTAAAATAAAAATTTAAATCAAATCAATAGCACTGTAAGCACTTTTCTTTTATATTTCATTTCTTACTCGTCAAAATTTCTGATGAGGAAGCCTGTAGAGCTTAAAAAATGAATTCAATTGAATAAAATATGCGTGGTTGTTTTTATTCAAATTAAAACTGTATGCACAACATAAAAAATTTAGGATTTTACATTATTTTTAATTGATCAAAATTCATTTTGGCCTTATGGATAGACACTGATGGACAAAATAAACCCACTAACCTTTTTAATTTTAATGTAGTTAGGTTTATTCATCTTTTTCATACCAAAAATAGGTTTGGTTGTAAAAATAATACATTTACAAAGAAAATGTTTATATGTTTATTACCTAATTGTAAAAAAAATTATTAAGTAAAGAACAAAAAAAGCAAATAAAAATGTAAAATTTTGTGTCCCCTTTAATATCAAGTATACCACCTGCAACAATATTTTCAACAACTAATTAAGGTTTTTGGTTGAGATAAAAAAGTCAATGTCACGAACGGGATTCGAACCCATGACAATTGTCGCCAAGAATTGAATAGATTACACGACATTTGAAAAATGGCAAAAAGAGGGAAAATTCGAAAGGTTGTAGGTTGAGATGGGGAGTTGGAGTCCGAGTGGATCGAAGGTCAAGTGGTAGAGCAGCGGCTTATTGAGCCAAAGGTCGTGGGTTCGAATCCCGCTCGTGACATTGGCTTTTTTATCTCAACTAAAAACCTTAATTAATTAAAACATGGCTTAATTTTTTTAAATCAATTGCTGTGATAAATAATGTGTGAACAGATGGTAATTCTTTATGTTTGAGTTGATTTGTTATGTATAACATTACAGAATATTTTTATTGTCATATTTCTTTATTAAACTAATGTACTTTTGTTCTATTTAATTCATTTATTGCTTTATGTAATACCTGGGGTATTTGATCTATTTTTCACTAATTTTTTTTAGATTCACTAGGAAAAATGGCAAAAAGGAGGGAAAATTCAAAAGGTGGGGTTGAGATGGGAAGTTAGTGTCCGAGTGGATCGAACTCACGATAGCTCAAGTGGTAAAGCAGCGGCGTATTTAGCCGGAGGTCTGGGTTCGAATCCCGCTCGTGACACTGACTTTTTTATCTCAACTAAAAACCTTAATTAATTAAAAGATTGTTTAATTTTTTTAATCAATTGCTGGGATAAATAATGTGTGAACAGATGTTAATTCTTTATGTGTGAGTTGATTTGTTACGTATAACATTACCGAATATTTTTATTGTCTTATTTCTTTATTAAACTCATGTACTTTTGTTCTGTTTGATACATTTCTTGTTTTATGTAATACCTGGGGTATTTGATCTATTTTTTCACTAATTTTTTTAGGATCACTAGGAAAAATGGCGAAAAGGAGGGAAAATTCAAAAAATGGGGTTGAGATGGGAAGTTAGTGTCCGAGTGGATCGAACTTGATAGCTCAAGTGGTAGAGCAGCGGCGTATCTAGCCGATGATCCTGGGTTCGAATCCCGCTCGTGACACTGACTTTTTATCTCAACTAAAAACCTTAATTAATTGAAACATTTTATTTGGTCAAGCGGACCACGAAAACTAGTGAATTTTTAACAACAAGGATTATCCTTTGGGTTAGGATAAGTTAATCCCCAACCGCAGGCTCGGGAGTGCGAGCTGAGACAGAAAAGGACGTGGAAAGACCCCTTTTCAAGTTGTTCAAGGCACCTCTTTTTTTTACAAATGGCAAGGAGTTATGTATGACACAGATCACTTTATTTTATTTTCTTAATCTTAAAACATTTATTTTAAGAAGGTTATTGTTTTAATTTATTATTTAGTGATCGTGAGATGCGGTTCGGTGTGATGTAGGTTTCAGAAAAACATTTTCTTTATCGCGCCAATGTTTCGATCTTTATTGAGATCATCTTCCGTGCCTTGTGTTGTCTGCATTTCGACAAAAACGGTCACTAAACACCACACGTTTCTACACGAGAAAAAAAAAATCTATGAACAGATTTCAACTACATATGTACCCCAAGCAAAGAGTATTCTGAAGGACATCGCCAACAATGGGAAGAAACTTGCATCGGCTATCAATCAGAGATGTGTTTTGTTGAAATGCAGACAACTCAAGGCCCTGAAGATGATCTCAATAAAGATCGAAACATTGGCACGATAAAGAAATTGCTTTTCTAAAACCTACGTCACACCAGACCGCATCTCACGATCTCCAAATCAGTGTTGGGCAAAAATTAGTCATGTCTAATGATTAATGATTGATCACTCAGACCGTTAGTCATGATTGGTAGTAAGTGACTAATTTAGTCATTAGTCGCCATATGTGATTGATGGCTAAATTAGTCATGACTAGTAATTAAATACGAGGCATGACTAATTTAGTCACAATATAGTTAGTCATGACTAAATTTCGATAAATCATGTTCAAATGGGTGCTCAAAAAATGAAAAATACACTTCATCACTTTTAAAAAATTTTCTAACAGAAATTTATTTCATCAAAACGAAAATCCTTCAACACCTTATTTAACAAAAATCAATCTTCCAATTATAAGTAAAACTCCGTCGTTATGAAAAGCCAAAAAATAATGATAATGATAATAATAATAATAAAATAAAATAAAAAAATCCTAGAACAAGCTACGCTTTGAAAAGTAAATATGTTTACATAACCGATCAATGGAAAAAATATTTCTTTGAATTAAAATTTATTCCACTTAAAAGGAGAGATTTCTACATTATTTGGAAAATACACCATCTAGGGGTCTTGATTGTAATAAAATAGACATGTAGAATAATTATGTAACTTTGGTTTTCGTTTATGATAACAATTTTTGAAGGTTGGCCTTGAGCACGACTCTCATCTCAAAATTTTTATCCGGAGTCGGTTGGATTTTGGTAAGTTGGTCATTGTAGCCAGAGTTGGGCAAAATCAAACTAATTCAATCATGATTAAGAATTTTGATTGAAGTTTAATCATGATTGAATTAGTCATGATTAAATAATGTAATGATTAATTTACTCATGACTAATTCAATCATGATTAAACTTCAATCCAAATTCTTAATCATGATTGAATTAGTTAAATTTTGCCCAACTATGCTTCAAATAATCATTAACTAACGGTCACTAAACACCACGCACGTTTTAATTTATTTGGGCCAGGTCCCGATTTTTGTTTTTCTGTAGTTAATTTGTTTGAGTTTGTGGCACGGATATTTTTTTTACACTCGTGAGTGACACAAGTTGCTTCGTGTGAAGAGGATTCACGCAGAGATCGTCATAGACCGAATCTCGTTCTTTAAGGGTCTTTGTATTCCTTGGAAAACATTTCTGGTAAAATCCTGAGGAATTCTTTCCCATTCATCAAGAACAACCGTTTCCAACTCTTCTATGGTGTTAGGACCTGGAATTCGTTGTCGTGCTAAGTTGGTCCCAAATGTGTTCGATTGGGTTGAAATCTGGACTTCGAGTTGGTCACTCCATGCATTCAACTTCATCTACTTCATGTACTGTTTGGGGCCTGACATTATCACGCATTAGGAAGAATCTTTCACCGATGTGGGGGCAAATGGCACTACATTTTCTTCTATGTCTTGTAGTCATATAAGTACCTCCGTGAAGTTAGAGCTCTTCCGAGCACAACAACAAATTCTGAACAGGCGTCCAAAGAAATACCATCCCGGAGCATCAATGACCCCACTTGAGGAACCATTGGACGTACCTAAATTACTCCCATCTGAAGATTTGAGGCCAATTTTCATGACCTTATATGCAAAGAGACCTCATCCCCAATCTTCCAACATCTAACTTACATGTTTTGTGCGAATGGAATCCTGGCTGTTTTCTGAGCTGTGGTAAGAGCAGGTCCACGAACAGATTACCTGGCCCTGAGGTTATTTTCATTGACCTTCTTCTTGCATTCCTGGAGGAAATCGAATCATTTCGGATTTGTCTCATCAG